CGTATCCTCGAGACCCTATTGTCTCGAACAGTGCACCATTTGCTCCGTAGGGCTATTTTTATGATGCGTCAGTGTGTGGTGGCCAGCTATGAAGATTTCTTGATAAATGGATGCGATCTTTAAAAATAAGTGGAACCGTTCGGGTTGAGTTGAGAAGATGTGCTTAAATCCATTTGAGAAGTGGAGGGTCAAATGTTGTTTTTTTTTGGCCCCCCCCCTGATATTGCTAAATTGCAAAGGTTTTGTGATGAATATCGAATTAAATCTAGAAAGCGATGTGAGTTGAGGTCACATTGACGGTAGGCATAGGTGACACTTTGAAGAGTTTGATGATGCTGATATGGAGGAAGGGTGGGGGGAGACTTGTTTTGGTGTTATAGCGTGGTGCAGTAGACTGTTGAACGATCTACCTATCATCTCCATTTTACAGAACGACAGTGGAGGTACAGGTTCGGGTTAAACCATTCTTTAGAGTTGCTCAATAAGATTAAACGTGATTAACTAGTGCCCAGTCGTGAGATTTCCGTAGGCGATTTGAAGAGATAAATGTATATTAAACATGAACAGATAGAGGTAGTGTAGCAGCTGTTAAATGGTGATGCTTCCCAAAGAACAGTTCAGGGAGCAGTCTCACCCATGAGGGGTGGTAATACTTGAGGCGCTTCTTTCTTTGCCGTTAGTTTCCCTCTTTGAATAGATCAATATTAATAAAAGTAAACAACTCGACATAAACAACAAATGTTGGTTAGAAGATGTGTGTGTGAGTGATGACTTTGATACAGGTAGATTGATGTTTGAGGAGTTAACAGCCAGAATAAGTCGCATGTGCGCATGTTATCATGAAGCATGTTAAGTTTCGCAGTTACTTAAGTGCCTTGATCGTAGGAATGCTTCGTTTTTTCTTACACACACTGATGTGTTCTTCGGAAGTGCACTAATCCGGTGGTTTCCATGCATGCGTTTCACAAAAAGAGGATTGGCGTATGTGAAAAGAACACGGAGCTCATCAACGCCAGGTGTTAGGGCTCCTCGGACACTATACTTTTAACTGCGCTTTTCGAGGTTTGGTCGGGAACTGTTGCGGGTTCGGCGAGATGAAATATGTAATACGATAGAAGGTAAGTACAACACTCGACAGAATTTAGCATCTGGTGCGCACCACTTATCACGTAAAGTAGTAGTTGTACCCCTACCTTGACTTGAAAGATTGCGTAGGATGCAAATTGAGAGTACCCTCGAACTGAAAGGAGAGAATGTCGAGAGTGATTTTTATCTTCTTATTGCTTATTTTGTTATCCATGAAGGCGGTCCGATAGGCATAACCTTTAGAGATATTTGATAACTCTCATAAAGAAATGCGCGCTAGCCCTTATGCAACGGTGAATAGCAGTGGAAGTTGTTCCTGTATACTAAATAGAATTTCCATGGCTTTTTCAGTTCCTAATTCGTGAACGTTCATGAGAGGAGAGTCGATAAAGTGAATAGAAATTTTATCGTTAATTTTAACTGCATGCCTATATTTAAGAGGCCGGTTGTCAGGGGGTGCAGTCAACGCTTACTACCACCCTACCCGCCTGCGACAATTTGATTATTGGTAACATTATGGATAAATGATGGTATTCACAATAACCCGCTCATCACTCCTCTCAGATAAGATGCTTTCAGGACTATGGAGCCCTTTTTGAAACGTGTTATTTTTTCGCATGATAAAGGCATGCATGGAGCTACGTATGCGCCAGTTTCGTAGCGTCTGTTGAAAGTGTCAAAAAGGTAGAGTTGGGTGGTGATGGGATCAGGGTCCGGTGATGAGCAAATTTTGCATTTCATGTAGGCATGTTTACAATGACTCAAATGTTTTTGCAGCGATAAATAATTAGTATGCTTCTTCATCAGGGTCATATACCTTTTGTTTAGTCTTGTACCCAGAATTGTGGAGGGACATTGTTAATGGGTGTAAGCGGCGCCGAGTTGGTGGCGAGAGGCTATAAAATAGGCATATCGCCGCCTTCCTCAATAAAGTATGGATACGTTCAGATTTGTAGCGGCTTGACTATACGTATATTAGGCCGCGTGAGTTTTTAGGAAGATCAAGAGTTCGGCCAAATTCAAATTGGGAGGCTGGGTTGCCCATAGTCAGTCGCATGCACGGCTTCGACTACTTGGAGACAGCTTGAAGATGACAGTCAAGCGGCACGGTTTGGTGTCGTGTAGTTACATTCACCGCGAGTCGCCCATGAGGGCATCGTTTGGCTTTACTCCGATTGCGATTCATGGGCTCGTATGCTTGGATGGCCCTGGTCAGAAGTGCCGCATCAAATGGACGGTGTTTCTTCAACGTCGGCCATCTGCCCTTCAGAGGAGAATGGATGTGGGTGTTCTTGCCGAGAAGCTGTCAACTTTCACTTTATCCGAGCATAATAAAAGCGTTCGTTTAGATGCTAGTCAGGGGGTGATTTGGTGATTTCAGAATACTTCATTGTGTTTTAACCACACTGCTTGTATTTAGTGCGTGTGTAAGGGATGTGGTGGAGGGGTGTGAGAAGTGATGGGGTGAGTGCTGAAGTGAGTGGAGAATAGTGGTGGAGAGTGTGTGTTTGTGATGAGGAGTCGGGCTGGTTAGGTGTGATCGCGTTCGGACGATGCGATGTGAGAGAGTGTGGGTTAAGGCGGAAGAATGCGAAGTGAGCGTGGGTGGGGGGAGGAAGGGGGAGAGATTGGTGCTCGAGGGCGGGTGCTGACGTAGTGCGGTCATGTAGTCGGCTGGTGCGAGTGCTGCGTGCGGGTAGTGCTCGGGTGGGGGTGGGTGGTGTGAGGTGAGTGTGGCGAAGGAGCGTGGCTGGTGGAGAACGTTCTTGGAGTTTGAAAATGATTATATACTGTTTTGTATTGGCTAATTTGTGTTTTCTCACGTTCAAGGTTTGAGTAAACTTCTATTAGTGCGGTCCACTTAAATCATACGAAGGTAGATATAAAGGAACGTTGTAAGGTGTGAACTCGATTTCTGAAGCAAATTTTCTCCTACTTTTTTTGGCATACAGAGGGCGTTCCAGATAAAATGGGCTTGTTTTGATTCATGCATGTGCCCCTTATTGCAAATAAACCGTTTCCAAAAAGGGCTCATGTCTGAAAGACCTTCTGGTTAGGAGAGACAAAGCTGATTCTGTTTGCAGTTTAGCCGAGAGGAAGGCTAGAATAACAAAGGTTACCATCATTCAAATGTTGTTCCGTTGAGAAATGGAGTGCTTTAATCGAAGAGACGGTAAGTATTAAGAAGTGCTAAGAGATTTCGAATTCGTTAGAGGACTGGAACAAGGATATGGAAGCGTCGTCGCTGCGGTTAACTCCACATAATACAACTTGTTGGCCACAAGTAAGCAGTGGAATTAATCGTCTTCGCTTCCCATACGTGAGGCGAAATATGCGACAGATGTGCTTCAGTGAGTGTGGTGATGTCCATCCTCCTCTTTTTGTTCTCCATATATAGCACAGCTCAGAAGGAAATCTTTTTATCGATGACCTATGTATTATTTGCGAATTTAGGACTCTGAAGTAATTGATAGAGCTAAGATTTTTATAGAATTAGTCCCGTTTGGATTGAAGGTAATAAGCGCAGTATCGGCCAATGAATTCGGCCGCCGCATTGCAAAAGCCTTTAATAGTCTTTTATAAAGCTAACTGTCTTGTGCTTTAGCTGAGCCATTCAATGTGCGGGGTAAAGGGCAACGTTTGAAATATTCGCTCGGAAAGCCTCATAGAAGTGGAGGTTCATTTCCCTATCTGTGAGTGCTGGGGAACTCATGAATGGCCTCACGTTACTTCGAGCGATCAATTGAGGGTCGTAAGGACAGAAAGGTTCATCTCGGCGAGAAGATGTCTCTTTTTGAGCGCGCAACCTGCTGGCTTCCCCTGAAGGTGGGACAATTTTCATAAGTTACTACGCCGAATTGAGTGAAGTTGGTATATAGAAGATTTGCGCTAGTGACGTGTTTTTGTTTATCATTCTAATCCGATATAAGTCTTTACATTGTACAGGCTCTTTCCTACCGCCCCCCCCCGCCGCTATCGTTAGCTGCTATCCGTTAGCGAGGCTTATTCTAGCATCTCTAGTTGAATCACATATTCCAATTAGGTGTCTCAAAATAGTTTAAAATCCGTTAGTACATGGCAACATTAGAATGTTCCAGGAGGACAAATCTGAGTTTACGTACCGTATCTGCTAACAAGACCCCTTCGCTCGTTGGCTACCTGAACTTTAGTAAAAAATGGCAGGAGTCGAATATAGTTGTGATGCATATGATAATTATAAATGACCGAATTATATGCAAAGTGTGCTGATGGGAGGTCGAGAGGCAGCATTAAGGAAGTTTCGCTTGTCAAATACCAGGCGTCCGTTCGTTGGAGACCTAATTTATGTGAAAGGCGAAAGTCATTATCCGCTTCCACGAAGTTTCAATAGCGATCGTCAGTCAACTGTCCCACATAGAGATAGACCTTCTCGGGTGTATCACAGAAAGTCTTTGAAAAATTCAAACTTGACAAGCGAAAAGGAGTGGAGGTAGATAGGTGGTAACAATTGACGATAGCCTCGACAGAATCCTATTTATATCTCGTTTTAGAATAGTTAGGTTCAGAAGTTGGTTCTGTGTAATACATAATAGAATGCATACAATAAAGTTTGGCAGGAATGCACCTGTGGCTTAAAAAACGAAGAATAGGTAAGCCTAATGGATTTCCATAGATTGAATAGAGCTTAGGCACGCACGGTTCCTCAGTTGTAAGAAACCTTCAAAACAGATCTCGGGTCGGTATTAGAATGAAGCTCAGTAGTAGGCGCCAAGCGGAGATTTACAGCTGGTTTATTGGAGCTTTCTCCTCTGTGAGACGCGGAATTTCTTTAAGGTTGCACCTATATACTACTTAGTGGTGTTATGGTCGCAAAAAAATCCTATAATTCGGTATACGGATAGAAAATTTTATAGATGTTCAAATTTATTGGAGGCAGGGCACTAATCACGTGAGTACGAGTTCATCATAATGAAAAAGAATGTTTATCCAACAGTATCATGAACTGCACAACCATAACTCATTGGAGAAAGCTGGAGACATAGCCAACGCTAATTGCGTTGATATATTGACGAGTCTACTTGGGATGTCGGTTACTTAGTGGGGATTACTTATTCCTTGCAAGCGATGTGTGCTGCGTGCACGGGCATACCCAAGTAGCTGGACAGTAATATGTAGCTAATTGAAACCTAATTGGGCACTAGTCATTATTCAGCGAACCCCGATGTCCGATCGCTTTCCGACGGAAAAACTAGTCCTCATCCACTTGTTTAGTCGGCTATGGATATTAGGGTAAAGGGTAAAAATGTGTTCGGGGGGGGGCCCTATCTGATTAAAGTGGATTTGCTGAAGACGCTCCA